TTGGATTTCCATATACAGGGTGACTCAAAAAAATTAATGAATGCGTAAATTTATTTTATTGATTTACTCAGGAATTACAAAACCGAATGCTTTGAAATCTTGAAGATGTTTTAAAGTTATCATAAGCATGGTAAGTGTTTGATCAAAATGTATTTCCTCATCCCCCCTAAAAAATTTATGACGTCACCACAAAATTTTGCTGAATAAATCCTATCTAAACTGTACAAAATATGATGAGTCTGTACTTGTGATTTATCACTCGATTCATATTTCTTGGATTTCCATATACAGGGTGACACAAAAAAATTAATGAATGCGTAAATTTATTTTATTGATTTACTCAGGAATTACAAAACCGAATGCTTTGAAATCTTGAAGATATTTTAAAGTTATCATAAGCATGGTAAGTGTTTGATCAAAATGTATTTGCTCATCCCCCCTAAAAAATTTATGACGTCACCACAAAATTTTGCTGAATAAATTCTATCTAAAATGTACAAAATATGGTGAGTCTCTTCTTGTGATTTATCATTCCATTCAAATTTTTTCGATCTGCGTATACAGGGTGACTCAAAAAAATTAATGAATGCGTGAATTTATTTTATTGAGTTAATCAGGAACTACAAAACCGAATGTTTTGAAATCTTGCAGATGTTTTAAAGTTATAAAGAGCATAATAAATTTTTAGTCAAAATATATTTGGTTATCTTCTCCAAAAAACTGATGACGTCAGCTCAAAAGTTTGCCGAATAAATCCTATCTAGAATGTACAAAATATTATGAGTCTGTACTTGTAATTTAACATCCCATTCATATTTTTGAATTGCATATACCGGGTGACTCAAAAAAAAAAATGAATGCGTAAATTTATTTTATTGATTTACTCAGGAACTACAAAACCGACTGCTTTGAAATCTACTGCGAAAAAAAACGTAATAGGCATGCAGTCGTCACGTTTCCGACAGCGAGGGAAGTACTGTCTAAACTCTTTAGACTAATTTTTTAAATATGGTTTTGCGATAATTTAAATATCTCACTTTAGACTGTAGCTTTTTGGTTATTTTATGTAATTTCCATGCGTCAGTACACAAAGATCTAGGGCCACGATTAATTCCAGCTTCTAAGAGAATGTTAGGACGCTTTTTCTTATGAGGAACGGGGATAGTATTTGTAAGTGAAAAAGCTCTCTTAACGGGGGTTTGGATGGAAGTGGTGGATGTCTGGGCGGGATCATCAGCAGACGTAGAGGGAACACTGAGAGGCGGATGTTCTTCAGGATTAGCATCTGGAAATGTCATAGCTTATTTGAATACACAATGTTAAAAATCGGTGTTTATTACTGTACTGTTCAGATAAACGATTTTTGTAAAAAAATATTTTAACAAATATGTAGATACTGTATCTACCGGGATCTTTGTACGTTGAGTTTTAAAAAATAATACCGTTGTAACTCCATCTCCCCCGAAAATTGCTAAAAATGCATACGTTATATCAACAATTTTGCTTCCCCAAAAGAAAAACAGAGTAATTTATCAGAACACCTACGACGAATTTACATTTTGTTACTCATATAGCGCAGCGTGGTGTATATTTGGTTGCAGAATTTATTTTTTTGAAATTAGTCAATACGCGAAAAACCAAAAACTTGAAGAGTGGTGCACAACTAAAGGAATTCAGGGTATATACAATGAAAAGGTACTCCTTATTTTGAAGACCTTTAGAAACACTGAAAACCTTCCTTGTTGTGGATAGGTCCGTTATTTCGTTGAAGCATAATGTTGAGATAAATAAATACATGGACTTAATTGCTTAATTTCGTCGAAAAAAAAACTAAAATTTTGAGATAGGCAGAAATAACAAAATTTCTGCTGGAAGCGGATAACAGACCAACAATTTTTAATAACTAAAGGTTATTATTGGTCTGGCAGGCGCCTGCATGAGGGAAGAATCTGATGTTAAAGATGGAGGTCAGTGTTTTCATATTATGATAGCAAACACTGAAACAAAAATTTCAAGAGATTTTTTTGTTCAAGTGGTGATCTTAAAGAAAGAAATATGATTGAAATTATTCGTGGGTTTCTGCACTACGACTGAAAAATCTAAATCACACTCGTTTTTTCCTGGGACACAGAAATAAAAAATGTATAAGCCAGTGTCGAGTACTAATACGTTTGGAAAAAGGCCCAGTGTAACTGCTCTTTTTCTGGGTGTGCCCAGTCCTCGGGAGTATACAGGACATTGCTTCCGGCGATCATCGGCTTCACTGTGGCTGAAGGATACATGCACACTTCAGAAGAAAATAAGAAGAGAATTGTTTTAAATATTTTAAATTCAAGTTCTTTTCATCAGACAATTGATAATTCTTCATCATTTTCAACTCATATGTTAAAAGGTGCTGGTAGTGTAAAAACAAAATGTAAAAACACTGTAATTAATGTCCACAAAAATTAGACTGATTATCTTGTAATTCAGAAATGTAAGATATTCTCAATAAAAAGTTTTCGATTTTGAGTTTTTGTAAAATACATGTCTTGCATTTTGTAATGAAAATAGTTTCATTATGAAATCCATAATAGCACTTGTGTCATTAACATCGTCATAATAGCACTCAAATGATTGCTGATAAGTGGGTATAATGACACTGCCGTAGACACAATATTAAAAAATAAAGTTTGCGGACCATATATTACACTGAATATAAGATATATTTTTGTGTTATTCTTTTTGCAGAGACCGACAAACACAGATTCAATTTACTTCTAATTTGTCATTAAATCTTTAACGACAACAAAAAACAGCTCAATTTAATAAAAATAGTCTACTTGGCGTAGATCCAAATCTCTTTTTCTTGTAGTAATTTCAGCGAAATCCTTTTTTGAAGTGTTTATGATATGATGACCTGCACACCCCCTGAAGCGACGACCCATAGTCGGGAGAAATTTATTACGAGCAGGGGAGAACCTGATAAAAGGCCTATTTGTTACATGTTAGGACCTTGTTGTTTTATTTGTTTCTTTTATATCGCCCTCTGATTTTTACCTCAAATATCATATTTCTACATTCAGTTTGACTAAAATTTTCACAGTTGTCGGCAATGCATTCGATTCTAGACGAATTTTGTTTACCTACTTGCCGACAATATATATAGGAAAATTAAAACAAATTTCAAATTATATAACAGATTTTACGTCTACTTGTGGTAACTGTGAAAGACGTAAATATTATAAATTCTAAAATTTTCTTTTCTATCTATCAATTATAAACACAAAGTTTATCAAAATGTACCAGTATGCGAAGCTTTTAATAAGTAATTTAGCAGCCCCCCATATCGACGATAGTATATATGTAATGCACACATAAATATTGTTTTATAGTATCTTATATTAAAGTTATTTAGAGAGAACTTCCCTCGCCTCTGAAGTATAGGCGAACAAATCGAGATCATGGGAAAAATTATAAAATTAAATTTTGCGAATTTTATTTTTGTTATGATAACACCTATAAGTAAAAATTGGTCGAAAGTTGTTTTGACAAAACTTTCTCCGCACCTAAAGAGGAATGAAACATATCCACCAATTTCGAGTTGAGTTTTTTCTTTACACTCTCTTTACTTCCTTAGCTTACACTCAAGGTACGGATAGGATTCGAACCCACTAAACATTTGACGCAGAACAGTGATATCGACTTACATATACTATGTGTAAAATATTGCACAAAAAAATTATGACGAATTCGTAATCTACGAGATAAGATCATACTATTTCCAGAGAGCGAATCCGTGGGTATAACCCTTCGAGTAGTTCATAGGACCGTATAGTTAACCACCTAAAAGTTAATAGCTTGCACACGAAGTTCAGGTGCATCATTGCACTGGCGGTTTGCCCGCTTGCTTGGTCGAGTCCGTTGTCTGAGTAAGTATTTCGTTTCATTTATGCATAACCTTAACTGCTCAAAATGATAAAGGAATGTCTTCAAATTTTTGATAAAGATAATCATGAGACAAATTCTGGCCAGCCTTTCACTATCTATATTATAATATTCCTAATATTCATTGAAAATTTGACAACAATCGGTCTCGTAGTTTTGGAGATAATCTGTCTAATAAAAATGGACACAGGCTATCAGCTACTGACAGACGCAGACTAACGGAAACGGAAAACGTATTTTTCGTGTTCTAGGGGTCACGAAACGTCGAGGAAACATGAAGTGGAATCTCCACCTCATGGGATTTGCAATACATTTTCAGAATGTAATATTTCCGTTATTAACAGACTGATTGTTATGCAATTTTAAACATAACCTGTCCACAGCTTTCTCTATATAACGCAAGAAATTAGTTTATTAACGTTTTCTTTTTAGCACACGGTTAAAGTTTTTCGTTATAAATTTTTAAAAATCAATATTTCAATTATTTATGTAAATTTCGGAACGCGGTTTTCACCACTGTATAACTTTTTGTCAGAAAAGAGATACAATAAAAGGAAGCTTGTGTCGAAGAAGCTACTTTTATTGTGTCTCATTTCCGGCATAACGAATCATCAATCAAATAAAATTTATTTATATTTTATAAGTTTTGACAAATAAAATTCATTTGTTACTTTGTTAGGGACGAACTTGCTATATATTCTGTTAATGCTTTCAAATCATATAAATTAGAATCTTTGTAACGCGATTTTTTCGCCATATACAATTTATTTGTGTATTTAGTCGTTTTTTCTTGTACAATTTTTGTATACCTAATAAGTCATTTTTAAAACAGAATTAAATCTTATTATTCAAAAGTATTTATATTCAAAAAGATATCACGTTTCTACCAAGTTAAATTGATGTCGATGTACTTGCAGGTTTTTGATAATGAGACTAATACCATTTTCCGATAGCACAATCTTCATAAATCAACAGAAAACTAAAACCTCGCACAATAGAGATTCGGCATTGTTCCCCAAATGGAGGAACCTGGCGCGTTTCATCAAACTCAAACACAAACAACATGTCCTCACCCAATATCTCTAAAGTATGTGTAATTTCTCTTGGCTCCATTGTTCCAATTTGGCACACATAATCTCCGGCATCTTGCGGCCTAACATCCTTCAATTCCAAACTATATCCTTCGCCAGATAGTTCCGGTATTCCGGTTAAGCTTGAAGTGCTCACTGGAGACTGCAACAGTCTCACCCTCTTATCTGGTGTGACCTTGACAGGGCCAGCCGTCAACACGGCTATGCCTCTTTTCCACGCTAACACGTAAGCACCTAATAAAACAAGAATGAGTATGAAGATTATTACTGAACAAATTAATTACCCGCAGGAGTAACTCGACAAGGCAGAACCACAGTGCTTCCGGTGGCTATGCGGTAAGTCTGGCCTGGAGTTACGAAAGTTGCTGGTTTTCCCTCTTGGAGAATATCCTGGTCGGTCAGTCCAGGATAGTTTTGTGCATCTGTAATTAAAGATCACACATAAGAAAATGTATTTCCAACGTAAGTATTTGTCAATAATAAGGTCGTAAAATGCGGCGTGCGCATTACTACTATCTATTAGAAATAACACTTTTGATTACTGATTTTTAATTGCTTCCGATTTTTCCTTGACCGTAACAGTTATAATTTTTAAATGCGTAGCGACTCACAACTTTTTGTGAAATTATCAGGATTACTAGCGTATCTATTATTAACGCAATTAAGTAGAACAAGACTCCAGTAAACTTAATAAATTTACGAGTGAACTTGAATAAACTTCATAATCCCCATTTAAACTTTGTTTTGTTTTAACCTCAAACTTAATTAAAATGCAGTTAAGTTTTTACAAAATGATAAGATACAACTGCGAAGTTTTTTACACGATAGAATTTCCTTGGTGTTTGCGGTTTTATTTCAAATTGATCTTACGAGTATAACTAAATTTTTAAGTGATATCCTCAAAGTTTCGGTAACAAAATTTCGTTGTTGTACAATAAAATTCCAAAATAAGCGAATCGACACTTTCGTAAATTGTTGGTGTAATCGCCGATCTACATGTTTGTGTTCTACATCCTGAAGATACAAAATGTGCAATTGGTTGTAACTTATTTACTTCAGTTTGTCAAACACTCTGTTCCCTTATTTGTGCAAATGATCTTGTAATTATTCACATTGCTTAGTTAGGAAAAAATTTGTCTAAGGTTATTTAGAGAGAACTTACCCCTCCCTTGAAGTACAGTAGAACAAATATAGCTTCTTTGAAAAATTGAAAAATTAATTTTGAGGGTTTTTTATACAGATACAGATTAATATATATTTATCTAATAAAGATATGTGTAGACTGTTAAAATAATGAAGCATGCTATGCGTGCGTTGCAAGTGAGTTTCTCCAGAACAAGATTTTGTGATGACGCCGCCACCGACAGATATAGCAATTTAAATAAGTGCAGTGTAATATTAATAATAATAATACTGTGCTGTCAAATTTTCGGGAGAATGGTCTTGATTTGGTCAATAATATAAATTGCCTCACACATTACTTTTTTGTAATCACCCTGTACAAGCAGTTCTAAAAAAAACATGAATGCATTGATAAACCAAACGTATAACTAGACTAATGATAATTTGCACATTTTAGGTTGAATTTATTCGGCAAAATTTTGGGGAGACGTCATCAATTTTTTGGGAAGGAAAAAACAGATAAATTTTTGACCATGCTTACGATGATTAAAACGTTTGCAAGATTTCAGAGCCTTCAATTTTGCACTTTCAAAGATGACCTCACCTTAAAATTTTATTTCATAAATCCTATCTAAAATGTGCAGAATATTATGAGTTTATACTTGTACTTCATCAATGCGCTGATATTTTGGCTTCCCGAATGTAAGTTAACGAAGTATTATATATAGGGTCTATCTGTCGAATAGCTGGTTTCATGTTTCCTCGACGTTTCATGACCCACATGGTATAAAAAAATAGGACTTTCGTTTCCATCTCGCCTGTATCGATGTATTTTGACCAGATTATCTCCGACACTGCTGGACTGATTATTATTATTATCAAATTTTGTAGATATTATAGGGAAGTTAGGGAGATAATAAAACGCAAAAATGTTTTTTAAATTTTATAAAAAATATTTTAAATGAAAAAGTTCACTTCAGTTTTTCCCAGATTCTGCTCACATAAGATTAATTTGCTTTTACAGTAGCAACACCTGAATTGTGGGACAGTTTTAAGTAAGTGTTATGTAGCAAATCAGACAGATATTATTACTACTTTTTAGTTTCACTTTCATTCACATTTTAAATCAAATTATCGAAACAACTTATATGCCTTTTAAGTTTTTATTTTAATTAGCTTTATTTGAATTAACATCGAAGAAGAGCAACAGTTTACTGATATTTTGATAAATTTAAAATAAACATCAAAAATAGTACAAGCAGAATGTATTTCGTAATCGAGAAAAAAATGAAATTCTCTTGCCACAAAATTGCAAAGCTCAAGGATTCGATTTCACCAACAACATTCAATACATCGAAATCCAACCCCTTAGGTATTGAGTTATGTATTAAATCTTTACGAAATCCGCCCGAGAATCCTGAAGCGAAACCATATGTTGCAGCTTGAATCAACTCAATCCTTAAAAAAAGCACTTCAAATACCTTCAAGTCAATTAGAATTCAAACAGCGTTCTTGGCAATACACGAATAAACACATAAGTGCTTGAGAAAAGCAAACAAGCAGAAACCTAAAGGTGTTCAGTTTCAGTTTGCAACAATAATTGAGGTGAAATGGGGTAATTTAATCAACGCTTTGATGTTGTAATAGTTACATTATGTTATCTTTCGTAAAATTAATTAATTTTAGACGAAAGGTTAAGGATTAAAAGTCAGGTCCATCGATCGTTGTATTTGTTTTAATTAAAAAAAAGTTAAACTGTTTTCTTTTTAATTGGAAGTTAAGAAATTAGATGAAACACTTTATTACCGAGAAAAATAAAATTCCGTGCCTTGCAAAATAAACTCGTTTATTGTTTAGACCCGAAAAGAAAGAGGAACAAGCCGGAAAGTTGTTAAGACTTCCATCTTTATTCATATCCTTGATAGAAGGAAACAATGATGGAGTCATTGAAATGAACGTCGCAAAGTTATAATTACTTTTGCCGCATCCGCGACGATTATGTTTGCGGCAAGCAAAGATTAAGAAAATTTGCTAATTTACTGAGTTATATGCTTTTGATATTAATTATGTGTTCAGACTCTATAATACTATGTCACACTCATCGTCGCAAGAACACCAACTTTCTTAGATAAAGTTATTGTCTGCAATGATTAATAGTTCTAGAAAGAGTTGCTAAGGTCTATAAGTCTATTATAAGCTATCGTTTGCCTTTCAGTTCGATGCAAATGACACACCACCTATGCAAAAACTTATCCAACCCACTTAAAAATGTTCACAAATAGCTCAACATAAAACTCTTTAATTAACTCTCATTTATCAACCCTACGTCAATTCACAACTACGGTCTCAAAGGTTATTCAAAGAGCCGGCATTACAAGAAAATTAAAGAAGTTTTTCCACGATAATTACAGCGATTTTCTCAAACGGCATTAACAATAAATCGAAGTTTAAAGATCATTTAGTCCACTCGTCCATAATTACATTAAACGAAGCCGTCTTAAATATTCAGTAAGTACCTTCACTGAGACATTTATAATGCAATCAATATGTATCTACCGGCCTGTTACCAACGTGCTTAAATTAATTATTTATATGGTCAGGTAATCAAGAATTTGTGTACTAACACAAAATGATTTTTAAAATAGGAAATAGTTGTACTCGTAAGTATTTCAGATTCATACCTAAAGCCTTTAAAACTTTTTATTTAAAAAAATTTGTGTCGGTCCTTATGCTTTGTGATGGAGGTGTTCAACGCTATATGCTTAATATTTTAGTTGTAATTAAATACAAGATACGAGTACTGACTTTCAGTTGTAGATATGTTGGTGTAAAAAATAGGAACATCAAGAAAATTGTCTGTCAGTGCACAGTGGGACGAAACTGAAAATACGTGGTCAAAATTGTGAAAAATCTGTTTTTCTAAATAATATTACTTGCTCTGAACGCCCAAATGTCTGAAAGATTATGTACAATTAGTTATTGCTGATTGTAAAACTGTTTACGTTGTCTGAGGGCGCACAAACTTTCTGTTTGCCATTATTCATTTTTTAATGGTGTTCAGACTGGTGGTGATCAGTTATTTCAAACGCGTGTCTTCAGCTTCGTATTAAACATATATTACTGAAATTAAACCTCAATATAGTTCAAGGTAAGCATTTTTTCACACATTAATTATATTGTAGTTATTGTTTGTACCTTACATTAAATAAAACATTTTTTATAGTGCCACAATGCCCCACCTTCTATAAATGGGATATGAATCTGTAAAGTTTGGTGACAAATCCCTCAAAATTTGAAATGCCCCTTTTTCCCCTTTTCGAAATATTTGACAAAATATGTAAGTAGATTTATCGGTTCAGCACATTAAAAAAATTGGTCTAAAGAGTTTAGACAGTACTTCCCTCGCTGTCGGAAACGTGACGACTGCATGTCTATTATGTTTTTTTTTCGCAGTAGATTTCATTATTTTTTTTGAGTCACCCGGAATATACAAATTCAAAAAATATGAATGGAACGATAAATTACAAGTACAGACTCATCATATTTTGTATATTCTAGATAGGATTTATTCGGCAAACTTTTGAGCTGACGTCATCAGTTTTTTGTAGAAGATAACCGAATATACTTTGACTAAAAATTTATTATGCTCTTTATAACCTTAAAACATTTGCAAGATTTCAAAACATTCGGTTCTGGAGTTCCTGATTAAATCAATAAAATACATTTACCCATTCATTAATTTTTTTGGGTCGCCCTGTATATGTAAATCCAAAAATTATGAATGGAATGATAAATCACAAGAAAAGACTCATCATATCTTGTACATTTTAGATAGGATTTATTTAGCAAAATTTTGTGGTGACGTCATAAATTTTTTAGGGGGGATGAGCAAAGTTTTTGGAGGGGATAACCAAATATATTTTGAGTAAAGATTTATGATGCTCTTCATAGCCTTAAAACATCTGCAACATTTCAAAACATTCGGATTAGCAGATTCAAAATTAAATTGTAAAATGTTGTTTTATAATTTTGATTTTTTTCCAAAAATCTGGACGTTTCGGGTGAAAAGTCGATTCAGAGTTGTAAACTACATGTGTAGGACTATGTTATTTTATACAATTGAAAACCCATTTACTATGTACAATTTTGAAGTGACGTCATCGCATTAGTGGTGGGGATGATTAGACAAATTTTGGTTAGCGTTTTACCATCTACATGATATTCTTAATATAAGTACAAAATTTCACAACAATCGGTCGAGTACTTTCGGAGATTATCTGTCTAATAAAAATCCGGGACG